TGGGAAGGGTGCTCCCGAGCTGTGTGGCTGTCCCCTGCCTGAGTCACCATTCAGACTCCAGGCCTGTCCAGGAGCCACAGAGCTGGAGGGCTGCTTCTCCGAGGGGAGTGTTTACGCCCCTCTTGCTCCAGTGTTGTCACCTTATTTTGATTCTCCCCACCCTTGGCACATATTCTCAAATTAAGTAATGAAATGAATCGGAGAAACAGAGCCCAGCATTTGTCTTCTCTGTGAAAGACACTTTGGGCAGTGCCTGCAGTGGATGGCATTCACAGAACGGTTCTGTTTTGGCAACTTCGGGTGCATGTGTCCTTGACCTAGTGAAGGCTGCTCTGCGTGCGTGAGTATAGGCCCAAATATGCCCGTGTGAGTTCATATATGCTATTGTGTGGTGCTATCGGTCAACTCCTACAGGGAGGGGGCCCTGTGATTTTTTTTTTGTATGGAGTCTAAATAACAAAGAAAGCCCTTGACTTTCTCCATAGGGTTTTATAACAGGATGCTTTTGGCCACAACAGGTAATAGGAAACCATTTCAAAATGGCTTAAGGAATAAGAAAAATGTTGCCCAGCCAGCGTGGCTCAGTGGTTGAGTGTCGGCCCATGAACCTGGAGGTCAGGGTTCGATTCCCAGTCAGGGCTCATGCCCAGGTTTAGGCTCGATCCCCAGCAAGGGGCGTGCAGGAAGCAGCTCATCAGCGACTCATCATTGATGTTTCTCTCTCTTTCCCTCTCCCTTCCTCTCTCTGAAATCAATAAAGACATATTTTTTAAAATTTCCTTTGACAATTTTAACAGGCCTAGGTGGCCAGGTTCCATTTTGAGCTCAGCCCTGTAAACAGACACGGAGGGAGAGACCCTGAGGAGAGACGAGGGGAGGAAGGGTCTGGAAAGCACGTCACACTCCTCTCCTGCCGTCGTCTCTCCATCTCTTTCGGTTCCCTTACTTCCCTCACGTTTTGTTTGTTTGTTTGTTTTAAATGCTACCTGCATCATCTCATTACAGCAACTGGCACTCGAATGTAAGGGTAATTTTATAATTGGAGTGTAATTATAACCATTTCACTGTATCGCTGCCGTGAAATTCAGAAAGCTATTCCAGTCTCCAGTTGGCTTTGAGATTTCTTGCAACGGATACCCAACCGTCTTGTGTGCTTTTCTGGCTCCCGAAGGCTTCCTTGAACTGGCCCTCCCTCTTCCACCCCCCACGCAAGGCCCCCAAGTCTGCGCTGTACCCCAGTGCCTGGCCCACAGTGGCCTGTCAGTGAATCTGTGTTGAATCAAGTCATGAATCTGTCAGCAAAATAATTCACAGTATTAGCCCTCTCTTTCCCTTGGCTTAGCTGCAGGAGAGACACCATTCAGCGTTTCTCTAAGGTGTTTTGAGTAGAGGGAAGTAGTAGTATTTCTTGATTTTCCTGATTTTATCATCTGTTTGTCCTTCAGGCTCATTTGAGGTCTCTGAGCTCAGCATGGTCTGATTACATCTCTGAGGTCTGAAGGTGACCCAGAGGTTCACTGTCTTCTAATTAAAAAAAACGTTCTCTCCACCTCATCTCTGTCTCCGGCCCCACTACTTGTTCTTGTTAAAAAACTTTGTTTCTTAGGTTTAAAATTTGCATAGAAATAATTTTATTTACTTTTCTTGTGGTTTTTTTTTTAAAGAGACATTTAAACTTTTTTTTTAAAATATGTTTTTATTGATTTTAGAGAGAGGGGAAGGGAGAATGCTAGACAGAAACATGGATGCAAGAGAAACACCTGTCCGCCTCCTGCACACCCCCTGCTGGAACCGAGCCCCAGACCCAGGCATGTGCCTGAGGGGGGATCGAACCTGGTGACCTCTTGTATCCTGGGTCAACACTCAATTAAAAGATATTTAAACTTTAATAATACTCTAATACCTTACAGTTTTGTTAATTATACCTCAATAAAGCTGAAAAAAAAAATAATAAGGGAAGAAGCAGACTAAGGGGGCCTGGGGATACAAATGGAACTTCTAGTTTTTGTTTAAAGAATTATACCTCCCAAAGGTTCAGTCCCTTAAACTTAGTTGCAGGTATAACTGTTGCTGGCAAGTCAAGCAGTGACCTTATTTCTAATTTCTGAGGTAGTTTTTAAATACTCCTAGTCTCATGATGAAAACATTTTGTTTCTTTGTCTTTTGAAATTAAACTTGCTCTTAGTATCTGATTAAAATTCTGTACTCTAACCCTGGCCAGTTTGGCTCAGTGGTTAGAGCGTCGGCCTGTGGACCCAAGAGTCAGAGGTTCGATTCCTGGACAAGAGCACGCACCTCGGTTGCAGGCTCGATCTCCAGCCCCAGTTGGAGCGTGTGCGGGAGGCGGCCAGTCGATGTGTCTCTCTCACGCCTGGAGATCCAGGCCCTTCCAGGCAGCGTGGAGCAGGTTGGGGGTAAAGCAGGAAGGAGCATCCCTGAGAGGGGCCACTTCAGAGGAAGCGAAGGAATCCTCCCTTTGCTAGAACCTTGTAAATAGTTTGTTGGGAGGTGAGATCTGTGGAGAAGGCCTTGAAGTAAAGCAGATGTTCAGAGGAGGCTGTGGGTGATACTGATAATACGAGGCGGACTGTGCTGTGGAAGGTGTGGCTTAAAAAAGGCGACTTGAGTGGAGTAGCCAAGTGTGGGTGATCTAGAAAAATACCAGCCTCATTCTCAGATTTTAAAAAAGTAAGATAATATTTTAGTAACATTCCTGTCTGATGGTGAAGGTGGTTCTCTTAGTAAGTAACGTTACGAGAAGTGGGCAGATTTGAATTCACTTCTGAAAGGGTCACCTTGCATTCTCCAGGGCTTCATCTCACCCGTTGTAGGTAAGACAGGTGGTTCCCACCCACCCGGTTCGGGGCAGAGCGGCTTGGTACTCGACCTCTTCTGAAACCCAGGCGTCAGGGTTCCTAAGCCTGTTGCAGGTCCAGTGCGTTTCAGTGTGCAAAGCCGAAAGGTCATTCTTAAAACGTCTTTATTGAGAAACATTGTGATGTGATGTTGTGATATATAAGTGGGAAATCTAGAAAAAAGAGGAAACCGTTCAGTTAGGGTTAAGCCAAGGCGTAAGAAAACCAAACAGCACTGCAATAAAATGAACGTTCTCTTTCCAGGTCCTGGAACAGCGTGTGCCCGTCCCAGGGAAGCACAGAGTAACAGAGGGAAGTACCCTGGGCTGGAGCAGGTGTATGTAGGTTAAGGAGAGCTGCAAGGCCCCTCAACTCCAGGTTCTCAAGCACCCTGTCTGTCCTCTCGTTTACTCTGAACACACTGCTTAGGCTCAGCTCAGGGGCTGCGTCTGCTTTCCGAAGGCTTAAAGTAATCACCGGTGGGCGAGGACCTGGGAGGCCTTCCTGCTGGTCGGTGTGCGGGAACTCCCGTCAGCTGCCGGGCATTTCCCGTCCTTGCGGTCTTTCCCGGCCTTGCTCATCAATTCCACGTTGCAGGACCTCAGCTCCACCCACTAGCTCCCTCTCCCACCCTGCTCTCCCGGCCCTGAGACAGTCCTGGCTCAGCCCCTCAGCCCCTCCTCAGCCTCTCCTCCTGAGCTGGCCCAGGCCTGACAGAGTTGCTGGAGAAATGCATACGTGCTCTCAGACCAGAGGGGAGTCCTGAGAGCTGTGTGAGCCTGGGCAAGTTCCTTGGGGCTCAGTGTCCTTATCTGTGAAATGGGATGATGGTGCCACCCTCGTCACCCAGCTGTCAGAAGAACTAAGAGAAAAAGGGGGGGTCAGCCTTCAGCCTGACACACAGTGCACAGGAAAGTACTGCTGACTATTACAAATTAATATTACCATTACTCTTGAGCATAGGATTTTAAGTGTTGATTGGGCATGGAATTCTGTTGCAAGCCAAATAAAGTTTAGAGTTGGACCTTGTAGGAGGAAAGTGTAGAGAAAGTTGGGGTCCCCTGTTAGGTCTGAAGAAAGTTAAGCACGTTATCTAAAGGGCATTCTGGTTTCTCTGCTTCACTGTGCTTTTCTGAGAAAGGAGCAGGTGATTAAAAATAATACAGATATTCCTTGGTGTCCCGGCCCTCACTGTCAGAGCTCAGAAGTTGAACAGATTTGGACAGACTTTAAATAAATTTCTCACTCTCTAGCTCTTACCACCTGCCACCCAAAGTTCAGGCACCAGATTAATTTGGGTAAAGCAGAGTTTCTCACAAAGCAAACTAACTTTCTGAATTCTCACCATCTCTACTCAGGAACTGGATAGAATCGGATGGTGGGGGATCACTTGTAACTAATTTTCCTAATGCGAACTTGATTCATCAAAAGCAGCAGCCCCTGTATGTTTCCATGTAGCCTGAGGAAGGGACAGATTTTAGAATGAGCTCCAGAATAAAATTAGCGTAACATTTGCTGCAGACAGGATTCCCGGTCGCAAGCAACAGAAGCTGACTCTGCTGATTTAAAAGCCTGTTGACAGGATATTGGCTGGCTTGAGGAGGAATTGTAGGCCAGGAAACACGCTCCCAGGAAAGCTTCTAGAAACTGGCATGTCCCTCAGGACCGGTCTGGCGAGGAAACCCCAGGGAGCATGAGCTGTAGCCTGGCCCACTGCCGCTTCGCAGTGACCTCCAAGGGCCTCCGCTGCCACCGGCCCACCGCGGGTCCGGCCGGCCGGCACCAGAGGAGAGGAGGGCTGTGCATATTCACCATCGCCAGCCCCGGAGGCAAGTCTGGCATGGGTGCGACTGAAAAACCAAGCCCTAGTTATAAAGAAAACTGGGCAGCAAGCTCTGGCATCTCCCTGGAGACGTGGGGTGCGTGACACCAGAAGCCCTCCAAGCGTAGGAAGGCTGTTCCAGGGTGTGGGCGGCTCCAGGTAGGTTAGGTGCCCTCAGAACAGTGCTCGGCCTTTGCGAGCCGTGACCTTCAGTTGGTCGTAGATCACTGTGGTGAATCAAGGTCCAGCTTGCTTGCTTCCACCTTTTTTTAAAGTGAAGTAAAATAGAAGCGAAAGTATTGGTGTGTCGCTCAGAGTAAGTTTCATCTTGTGGAACCTTTGATTTCGTTGTTTGCAGCCCGCATCCGTGTATGGAATTGTTACCACAGGTAACGATCTTAAAAGCCGGCATGTTCCAATGCGCAGAGTTTTCTCAGTCTCAGTCCCCATCTCGCTTATTTTCAAAGCGCAGTATTTCTCTCTCTTCTCTTTCTTTTTCAGAATAAGTCAGTGCACCCCCCCACACACACGCATGCACACACGCACACACAAGCACAGTATCCAGACCTCTTTCCCCTGGAGCTCCTGGGTGGCAGGGGGATTTCACTTGTTAAGGTACAATATGTATTCCATACACTAAAGGCTAGCCTGGTAGCCTGCTTACTGTTACAACATTGTTTCCCTGGGAAATGATGATCTGAGTTCTAAAAAAACAACAAAAAACAAAAACTTGTGCCTGTTATGAGTGTGGCTACAGTTGTTACAATGTGGATAAAACATTTCAACCTAGACTTTGACCTCAAAGTATCCGTCAAACAATTTTTAAGTAAAGAGCTTTCTATTTATCTCTGGAGATCAGCAGCACTGTCTTTAGTCTTGTCTCTGAAATCAGTTGGTTCTAAACTTGTAATGTTACCTCCACAGGTCCATTTACTCGGCCACATCCAGCCTTATGGAGAATGGTTTTTGGTGAGTTACACATTAGATTTTAAAATATATTCTACTTAAAAATTTTTTTCCTGTATATTATCATAGCAGTTTTACTTACCACTCTACAGAAAAACTTTATAGCTTTTTATTTCTTGGTTTTCCTAATAAAAAATTTTTATTAAAATCTTTGCCACAAAATGAAGTACTGGTGCTGATCAACATCCTCACACATGGGAACCATTTCACCCCACCGGCCCCCTTATGCTGGGAGGATAGCACGCCTGGGGACCAGCAAGTGGTCCAGGTTAGGGTTCCTGCAGGGTTCTGTCTGCTCCTAACATGCATGCTTGCTCACACAGTCACACACATGCATACACTCTTGCTCACACACACAGTCACACACACATGCATGCTTGCTCACACATACACAGTCACATACACACGCACCCTTGCTCACATGTACAGTCACACACGCACATGCATACTCACACACACACACACACAAACGCACACAGCTCTACATATTCTTCATGGACCTTGAAACCCTTCCATGAACTGCAGTTTGAGAACCCCTGCTCCCCAGGTGCTTTCTTTCTGTCTTGAAGTAATTATTTTGAAAGGATTCTAATAAAAAGGTACAGTGGGGGGCTTCATTTGAGTTGAAAATTTATGTAAAAATAGCTGGTGCATAAATGCAAACCCAAAAAGGTGCCTACAGACGTGCTCCCTGGGCCCTGGGATGGGGCGAGTCACGGAGTCGGGGTCCGCCTTGGCCGTAAGTGACTCGCGTGGCGTGCGTTGTGCTGGGCCCGGCCTGTCCTCAGATGGCACTGCCTTTTCCCCTCAGGGCTCAGCGTGCTCTACTTCCTCTTCCTGGTCTTCCTGCTGTTCCTGAACTTCGAGCAGGTGAAGTCCCTGATGTACTGGCTGGACCCCAACCTCCGCTACGCCACCAGGGAGGCTGATGTCATGGTATGTGCCCGTCGGTGTTCTCAGAGACTAGGGGGCCCTGGCGTCGGAGGAGTTGGGGGCACATTCTAAACCGTTCCTGCCCCATGTCTGTGTGTGTGGAGACCTAGACCCCAGGGTCGTTCCTGCTCCGGGTCTGTGTGTGTGGAGACCTAGACCCCAGGGTCGTTCCTGCTCCAGGTCTCTGTGTGTAGAGATCTAGACCCCAGGGTCGTTCCTGCTCCGGGTCTGTGTATAGAGATCTAGACCCCAGGGTCGTTCCTGCTCCGGGTCTGTGTGTGTGGAGACCTAGACCCCAGGGTTGTTCCTGCTCCGTGTCTCCTGTTGTGCGGAGATCTAGACCCCAGGTCTCTGGGCAGGTTGGTGAGGTGCGTGGTTTCCAGGAGTGAGACAGGGAGATGAAATCCTCTCAGAGCAAAGGGGGTGGACAGCAGGGAGAGTGAACATGACCGTGGGACAGCGTGGGGTGCATTCTGCCTCCATCACTTGTTAGCGGCAGGCCGCTGGGTAACGTCCTCTGAGTGGGGAGCTTATTTTGAACTAAAGAGGTAATGCTATCCACGGGGCCTAGCGTGGTGCCTGGAGCACGCCTGCTCCTCAGTGATGGCAGCTGTGGCTGCTCCCTCAGCCGTCAGCCCCGGTGCCGGGATCCTTCCCACCTGCCGGCCATGAAGGGCCAGCTCTAGTGATTTAGGCCATTGCATTCATTAGTTCTATTAAATCACAAAAAATTCTTTCCTTGGCTAAAACTTCTCTGTACTTTGGCTGTAAGGACTGTAATGCAATTGCTTTCCACCCTGTCCCTTAAGTGCCTGACGTCTGGTACAGACTAAAGAAAAGGCTGATGTTGCTCCGACAAGGAGAGCAGGCTCTGAGGCCAGAGACAGACCCCATCTAATGAACAAGAAACAGCAGGGAGGGGCTTCATCGAAGGTTCCTGAGACTGGGGAGCATCCAAACTCATGGATGCTACTGAGGAGTTTAGATGCTACTCTGAATGTAATAAAAGGCCATGGAAGGTTTATAAATAGAGCAGTTACATGACCTGTATTGGTGCTTTAGGGGGTCAATTAATAACACCCCCATTTCCAGTCAAGTTTGAAAACAGAAAAAAAAAAGAGTTCAGAGTACCAGCTGATTTCTTCCTGTGAAAGAGCGGAGCAGACGGCTTTAGACCTGGCCACATGGCCTTGATCATACAGCCAGGCTGCTTCTCCCGTCCCACCGGACAGCCACAGCTTCCCAAGAGGAGGGACCAGACGGGAACCCTCTGCACCATCTGCAGGCAAATAATTCCCAGAGACATCGGAGTTCACGTGTTCTTTCCTCTCCCAAGGTCACCAACCTTAGGAGCGAGAGAGAGGGTGGGGCAGGAGGCTGGGAGCGTGCAGCCGCCGTGGGGATCCTTCCACACGGGAAGGATGCCGCCCCACAAACACACCCACACCCAGAATGACTGGATTCATCATCTGTAGAATCATGTTGAGAATCGGTAACGGGAAGCAAAAGTGAGCACAGGGAGGCCTGTTAAGAGTCTCTAGTCTTAAGCTGCAGGTGGGTGCTCAGGTGTATTAGAGCATCACCTGCGCTCTTGGCTGTCTGAAACATTTCATAATTTTGAAGAGCGATTGCAGACATCTAAGCGAGAAATGGTAGTGGTGGTGAGATGGAGGAAAGGAAACCCTTGGGGCCGTTCAGGGGAGAGGACTTGTAGGTGAAGTGTTGGGCCCCAGGGAGAGGATGGGCTGCTGAGACCAGCCCTCCGACCAGCGGGAGACGGGCAGGATGTGCCTCACCTGCGCAAGCAGTGCCGGCGGGGATTATGTCAGGACACGTTAAAAACAGAGATACCAGAACCAGATCTTTTAAAGCTTTATTGTTTTTTAACATTTAAAATTATGCGAATTTGGTACATTTTAGAGTGAGGGGTTATTCTGTTTTTTCTGATTTCTGAAGTTCGATGCTTCAGCTCTTCTAATAGGACATTTAAGGCTTTTTGTCTCCCTCTTAAATTCTGCTTAACTGAATCCCCAAATTTTTTTTCTTTTACTTTTTAATATGCTTTTATTGATTTTGGAGAGAGAGAAAGGGAGAGGGAAAGAGAAACTTTGATGTGAGAGGGGAAACATCGATCGGTTGCCTCCCGTACGCACCCCAGTCCAATCGGGCCAAACCTGCAACCTGGGCGTGTGCCCTGGCAGGGAATCAAACCCGCAACCTTTCAATGCACGGGATGGTGCTCAACCAACTGAGCCACACCAGCCAGGGCCATCATTTTTAATGTATAGTATTTTCATTGTCATTTATTACTGAATATACTTTAATTTTCCATTACGATTTCTCCTTAATTCATGATATTTAGAGGCGTTTTTAAGTTTCCAAACTATTGTGATCCTGTTTGTTCTTTATTATTGGGATTTTATTTATGTTTTGTTACTGGCCTTAACACAGTTGCTGTGGTCAGGTGCCGTAGCCTGTGTGGCACCGTTTCTTTGAGATGTATAAGCATTTGTGAATTGCTTCTCATTTTAGCCTAGCGTTTGCAATTTGGAGCAGAGCAATTTAGCTTATGAATTCTAACGCTTATCCATGTTTCCTCAGGAATCTCCAGTTATTAAAACTTGTTTTTGTTGGCCAGGCCATGTATTAGTTACCAAGGTCCCATCAGTTCCTGTTTATTATTAGAACCCTGGAGGCCAGCTGATTTCTAGAGTATTGTTAATTACCCCCCTTCACTTTGAACAGGAGTATGCTGTGAACTGTCATGTCATCACCTGGGAGAGGATTATCAGCCACTTCGACATCTTTGCATTTGGGCATTTCTGGGGCTGGGCCATGAAGGCCTTGCTGATCCGCAGTTACGGCCTCTGCTGGACCATCAGCATCACCTGGGAGCTGACGGAGGTAAGGGGCGAGGCCTTTACCGGCCCTGCCGAGTGTAGTTTATAGGTAGGGGAAGTGGGTCTGTCGGTTCAGTCAGGATCCACTCTCCAGCCTCTGGTACAAAACTGATTGAAACCACCCCTAGGACTGTTTTACAGCTTTGTGAGGGAAAAATAGCTTCTTGTTAACTTAAACTGTGCCTCTATGGCACAACTTTTTCTTTTTTTTTGGCAAGAGAACATTTATTTGGTAAAATTACAGAGACAGAAGAAGTAATTTCTAGAAGAAATGGGCTTAGGAAACAAGTTTAGAGGCAAAGGAAGGGCCTTTGGGACTTGGGAGCGAGGAAGGTAATGGTAACGCACCTGAGGGGGCAGGGAGGAGGGGAGAGAGAGGGAAAGGCAGGGGTGCTCCCGGAGGGAGAGCGCTGGGTCCTCTGTCCCAAGGGTTTTAAGCATGGAGATCTTAGGGGAGGTCCAGGGGAAGATCTCGTAATATTCAGCAGCTTTCCAGGTGTGTCCCTTCAGGGTGTGGTCTCCACTGATTATTTGGCACCAGGGTGGGGGGTTATCATTTAGTGCAGCTGGTCCAGGTGGCAGGTTTTGTTGCTTTTCTGGGCCTGATATGTCACAACTCTTAAAGAGAAACACATGAGCCTGACCAGGTAGCTCAGCTGGTTAGAGCATCGTCCCAATATGGGTCCGATCTCTGGTCAGGGCACATACAAGAAGCAACCAAAGAATGCATAAATAAGTGGAACAACAAATCGATGTTTCTCCCTCCCTCTCCCTCCCTTTCTCTCTAAAATCACTCAACAAAAAATTTAAAAAACAACAACACACGCACATAGGAAATCAAGCTAAAGAATGAAATTGAAATTCCAAGTGACACAAATAAAGGGTAATGAGATCTGCTTAGAAGTAAGTGGGCGGTTTACCGGCTAACTAGTTTCATTACATTACTTCAGAGTATTTTATTCTGTTCTTATACTTTGTAATTATATTACTCTGTAATTATAAGGGTTACCTCTTTTCAGAGAAGGCCAGGCAGTTTCTCTCTAATGTCAGACTTTAAAATGGGCCTTCACACAGCGGCGTGTTCTGCCCTGGACACAGCCGACAGGCCCCTTGTTTTGAACGGAACAATTTCTGCCCTAGACTTCTGTTCCACCCTTGACATTACTGTTTCCCTTTCTGAAACGTCTTCACCTATCTCTGGAAGCCGGTCACGTCTGTCCTTAATGACCCCGCTTCAGTATATCCTGGCAGAAACCAGCTCCAGTGGCCGTCGTCAGAATGGCTCTGTCTTGTCCCCACCGTGTTCCGTTTATGTCCCCGTGCTGACGCCTGCCACAGCCCACCTCACGTGCGGCCCTAGATTCACACCTGATTCCTGCCCCGGAGATAAGAACCCTGGCTCCCTTTTGTCTCACCCCCGTGCTCATCGGAGGCGCTTAATAAACGGTCGTCATCGTTGCGGATCAGTTGGCGTGAGGTTTCCCACTAAGCCCTCAGTTTCCTACGTCTGTCGTCAAGGTCCGACCTCTCCTCCTTACTCTGTGTGCGCAGCGTCCTCGCTGTTTTACCCACGTCCGTGTGGACCGTTTCCGTAACGCACAGCTCGGGTTATCAGGCTGCTAATTTTGAGTGTTTTCCCAGGGCTTTGTTGGAGGTATGGACACCGCCCCC